TATTAGTCTTGAAAAGTTTCTACTAGTTCTCACCTGATGCCGATTCCTTGTTGCGACTTAGAGATATATACCTACATGTCCGGTTAAATATTCTCTAACCTGTTAATGTTTGCGACAGCGGTAGGTGTTGGTAAAATCATATTGGTTACTTAAGGATAAACTACAGTGAATAACGTGGTTGATTTCTGTTTTTTGGTTGGGTTACCGGGATTTCTTGACATAGGTGGACTTCATAAACGTATTGCGTACATTGTGTGCTACAATTTGTGTTTTCTTTTGGTGAATGTATGAGTTCAGATTCCAGGCACTAGTTATTATAAAGTACTCATAGAAGATTCTACTTAATTAACAATGCACGCCCAAATCCATAAAACTAAACTTTTTTCAACTTGTACCATATTATTATCCTAAACGGATTTTAATAAACACAATTTATTTGTAAGCAGTTTAATCAGTTTGTGGAGATCTACTGCACTCAGCACAAAGAAAAAGATCCGGATTTTCAACACCAATTCAGTCAAGTCAGTGCTTCTGTATGGCTCAGAAACTTGGCATGTCACGAAAGCATTCCCAACAAACTACAGAAATTCATCAACAGCTGCCACCTACGCTCACTCGACACTTACACTGAAGATCAGATGGCCAGAATGAATAAGAATAAGCAACAAGGAACTCTGGCTGGTTAGCAACGAATCAACCAAGAACCTGTCACCCAACAAATATGCAGAAGAAAGTGGAGATGGATTGGGCACACACTGAGAAGGCCGACTGGGGATATCACTCGCCAGACCAGGTCGTCGAGTGGAATCCAAAGGGGGAGTGACGAGTTGGGCGTCCGAGGTGAGGGTGATATGGAGGAGATTATGTGAGGGTGAAATGAAAGGTTATGGGGAGTCGTGGAGCCAGGTTCTAAGGACTTCAGAGGAGAGAGTGGAATGGAGGCGTGCTACTGAAGCCTTATGTTCCACTAGGAACCCAATGGAAAAATAATAATAACGGTTTAATCATTGGTAATTTAAATCATAAATTATACTTGCAATTTTAGTTACCCCAGGTCGGTTATTACGTCACAACGTTCACTTACGACTAGATTTTATACCTTGACGACGTCCAAAAAAATTGTAATTATTTATTAGGTTTTGTTCAGTATGAAGCAGAATGATAGTCAAAAATATTTATTTTACACTCAAGTATATTGCTGTTTAAACGAAAGGAATCGACGACTACATTATACAGTTTTATACGGCGTAGATGAATCCTACTATCCTGCAGTTTAAATGAACTAACCCCAAAGAAAGTTAAGTCATTACAATATTCACTGTCAAAATTATTGTGTAAAAGTGTAATCTGATTAAAAAAGACCCTCTATAAAAGCTAATCTTATATTCTGGCCACTGAGGTAAAAAAATAACCAAACAGCTGACAACTATAAAATCAAGAAATTAAAAGTATAAATTTGCTCGCAACTTAACAAAATAACTTCAACTCTCAGATCTGCATCCTTCCTGAAAATTTAAATAAAAAGCACACCTGAATCTAATCCTAATAAACCCCGTAAATATGGAGTGAACAAAGATAGATAAGTAATTCGTTACTCTGATAGTTCATTGATGGGCTTCAAGCAATAAAAGTTTCCTATTTTAGTAATAAAAGGATAATATGAACGAAGTATACTCTTTTGGATAAATTCCCATCACGTTCTGCGGTTATAAAATGGAATAATTCAACACAATGGCATTCTCAATAAAACGTTGGCCACCTGAACACCAAATAGTATATAACTTTTACCGGTTGTATGAAGATCGTGATTTCTGTTATAATGATAAGAATTCTCAACTCAGGATTTGAATTATCTATCAGTCTGATATTGTGTCAGAAAGTATTCTCAGTTAAGAATTTATTCTGGAACATACCAATGCTTTATACATACCAAATCATGAATAAACTATTAATGATTAGCTCATCACTGTGTGTATGTTTCTCACTCCTACTTTGACTACAACTATATAAGTCGAAAAGAATTTATTCATGTACACTTGTGAACGGATATCATTTCGGTTGGGAAAGGAAGTAAATGTGTCATCTTATATCATTTAGTCAGTAGTTAACAATAAATTAATAAAGACAAAGTATTATCATTGATTTTTCGGATGCCTAAAATTAGTCAAAACACTCACATAAATGTTTCTTATGCAAACCAGAATTCGTGAGAGTCACCACGAGAAAAGTAAGATCGAAATATCCGTTCAGTACGTCAGTGCAGTTTAGTTGTTAGAAATCAATTAAAAGACTATCTATCCTGGCTGAGAAACACCTGATGAAAATCATCAGTCGTAAACTGTGCAGTGCCTTTGCGTACAAAATGTAATTCTAACAAACAAAAGCTTTCACCTCCAATGCCGAATGAGAATTTGGGTATTCAAGTTGTTTCGATAATACAAGGAAAATACTGCATGTATTCGCCTACAATCTATGCGTGTTACTCAGATTAGCGATGAAAAAGTAAATTTTAAAATGCAGTCAAAAAATTGGAATCCATATAGATACACTAACAAGATTATTTGAGGGTGAAAATCTAATCTGTACAGAGAAATGAGTTTTGTCTGTAAGTAACTTCACCCATAGTGTTAGTTTTTATCCTTTGTCTACGGTTATAGGCTAACAGTGAATCATTGTTGCATAACCTACCTGACCAATCTCCAGAAAAATGAACTGAGACTCCTAAAAGTTTGTTTGATAATCTTACCAGTAATCGTCACACAACTTAACATCTATTCTAGTGCTTGTCAACACTAATTACACAGTTATTATATTACACAGAATATATCCACGGTAACATTGAAAAGATGAGAGTTTGAACGGACACGCAATTTTACTAAAGTCTCATCAGGTCTAAAATGATTAGGCCCAGCAGATCACACACTGTGATCTAAATGCCTAAAATTTTAAAGAAAACTAGGAGGAAATTTCTCTGAGTATTTCGTGAAAACGTAGTTTTACTTGATTAGCCATTTTTTGGCAAGAAAGAGGAGACATTGAAAAGAAAGAGAATGACTGCAAAATTTCACTGAATTAAATAGAAAACTTCCTTTGAAAGAGCTTAACATAGTTATATACATGTTTCATGGATATATGCTAACAAGTTAATGTGAAATACAATTGCTGGCCTTTGTAACAAAACTAGGAGTCGTTAAAACAGTTAAAATAAATACTAACTATCCTTCAGGATAGGAGGTCAAAGTGAAATAGTTTCACCTGAAATCGTTAAACAACGAGAAATAGTAATTAAAAGGCGCATTAGATTTATCCACATAAAAGATGAAGGTTGAATAGTTATGAGTAAACTTTAAGTGGAATTTACGAACATTACATTAGAAGATCGACAAAGATTTAATGGTGACTCTAAAGACCTCTCGAATAATAACGAACAGATACGCCAGTGAAGGAAAACATTAATTCCCAACTAAATTAGTGAGATTTGAATGGATTGCGCTTGTCTTACAATTTTAGCATGGATAGAAGACCTGACAGTTGTTGTGAACATGGTTTCTGGGGTGATCTTTACAGTCAGTTACATATGGGTGATTCAAAAAAATACACAAGTTAAAGAAAGTCCTGGAAAACATTTCCAGCGTCTTCCCTGCATTTTTATTGGAATGCATATTTATATATATATATATATATATATATATATATATATATATATATATATATATATATTCTCTAATATAAAGGTAGGACTCGGCCATTGTAATACAAGATAGTCTCATTATAAACTGTCCGTTAGATATATAAAGTAGAGCAGAATAACTTACTGGGTAACTTTTCAGACATTTTTATTACTTATGCTAGTATCAAGATATGATTATGAGTAACGTTTTGGGCATGTTAAACACTACTCCCTTGCAATGCGTTACATCCAATATACAAATCGACCTGGAAGCATGTTAACAATGTTCACCCAATAAAAAGAATTTGTATTATGACAGCGAAAGATTCAAAGAGTTCTAGAAAGTGTTTTAAATGATTTACATCAAATGTTCCTAGCAGAACGATAAATAACTTGCATATTTTGGACACTATTCTCTATCTGTAGTCATCCAAGCCATACTTGTTACCAATGTCCTGGAAGAAGTTGAGCCCTGAGTCCGATTTAATCATCATATTAAAACCTTTTTTTAAAATGACTAGTCTCGACCTGTTTCAAGACTAGGGAACAAACTCCACAAAGTATTTCAAAGAATAAAAATTAACTATGCGAAATAAATAGTCTGGATTAGGTTTTTAAAACGCTGTCGGGGATCGGAAGTACTCAGAATCTTAAACTGAAATTGTAGGAAGCTGGCCGGCAATGGTTTTCAACATTGTTTCACGATGATGGTAGTGGACACAGTCTAATATTTCCAAAGTAAACATCATTTAGTTACTATTATTATCCAGTAGCATGTAAAGACAACAGCCCAATAGCAAATTAACTGTAGTGAGGTATTGTTGTAAGTTATCACTTTTATATCAAAATATCATCCGGTGTCTCCAACGGAAAGTAAATAGCTTCGAAAATTAAAATCATCTGGAGATGCTTATACCTAGCAGTTCATTAAACAAAAGGCTGATAGCAACTCAACAAACACGGAGAATTTCATTATTTAATCGACTGAGGCTACATACTGTTTATAAAGGTCAGTGATATTACTTTCCTGCTAAATCTCAGTAGACGAAATCTATTCAGACTAACAACGAAGTTCATAAAAAGCTTACACTGGGCCGATAAGCTTCAGCCCAGAGACTGAAAGGAAACAAAAGATTTCTGCTAAAATATTCACTGGATAATTTCAAGTCACACCAATCGATCATCAGCCGAATTTTGCTTCCAGTTGTCAACAAATTTATCTTAACTAATTAACATGTTAGTCAGAGAGGATGCTGTAAATTTTTTTATTCTACATGATATTCAGAGAAGTATCAAAGATTACTAATGAAGTTGAACTAAAGCAACTTACTTGACTGGTTCGCAAAATTCCAGTTTCTGGTTCAATGATAAAGTATTGATTAACCCCATCGTCTGACTGTAGACCATCTAGACTCGAGATATCCTTTCCATCTTCTTGTGATAATGCTTCGGTGGATGGTAATGCAGCGAATTTATAACTTAATACCGCTGCTCTGTCTCTGTCTATTGCTGTAGTAGTAAGAATATCCATTCCAGGTGGTGCATTCTCAGGAACTCTACCAACATATACCCGACGAGAAAATTCAGGTTGGAATTCATTGACATCTACAATTTGTACAGTGATTACTCTTACAGAAGTTAGTTGTTGTGGTTTACCATAATCATGGCAAACAATAGTTGTACGTACCATCGACTCTACTTCATAATCAAATACTCTCGCTGTGCGTAGGGAATAAATTCCTGGAGCACTGGGGGTGAGTATAAAGTCTTGTGTATTTTTTCTGCCATTTGTTGCTGTGTTATCATTTGTTTCATTTAGAGAGCAAGAAACTTTGGAGTTTTCACCTGTATCATCATCCCGAACTGTTAAAACTGCTATTTGACTGGGTGGTGAATTCTCTAAGATACTCAGACCATCGCTAGACTTCGAGTCATCGAAAGATTTTACATTGGATTCACTTGTCTCTGGCTTGTTTCCTTTGGTTTGATCGCTTGTACTGGTAATTAGTGCCGCTCCAGCCGCAACCGCATGAATTGAAGGTGGAAAATTATTCACGTCTTGCACAGTGAATGTTATGTCAGCTGTTGAATTTTCATTGCCAGTACATGCACGATTCACAGCATCACAAGCAACAACTTTAAACTCATAACTGTCACGTATATTTGCTGCTAGTGGTCTTTTCAGTCGAATTTCACCCGTATCCCGGACAAGTTCAAATGTCTCAGTCAAATCAGGATCCACATTTCCCTGAAAATTATATAAAACGCGACCCCTTTCGCCAGAGTCAGGATCAGTAGCATTAAGTTTTAATACTACAGCACCAACAGCTGTATTTTCAATTAGTCGTCTGTTGAATCTAGTGTTTTCTAAACTCGGGTTATTATCATTTTCATCAAGCACTTGAATCTCTAAAGTTTGTCGAGCACATGCACCAGGATCGCATGCTTCTATGCTTGCCTTATATTCGGCCACTTGTTCCCTATCTAGAGGCCGTATCAACTCTAAACGAACTGCAGGGAGACCGGACAAATCTAATTTAAATGTGCCTGTGGGTTCTACAAGAGTGTAGCGTTGTATCTGATTTTCAGGGTCAATATCTGCATCTGTTGCTGGAATAATGCTTGTTAGTGTTCCAACAGATGTACCCTCAGATAATGTGACTGTCTGAGTTTGTGAACTAAATGTTGGTCTGTTGTCATTTTGGTCCTGAACTTCCACTTTCAATAGAACACTAGCAGCAAATTCACCAGCAGCCTTATTTGTTACAAAGATACTTGCCTTCAGTTCACATATTACTACACCGCAACAAAATTTAAACTCAGGACATAAACGTTCTCGGTCAATTAAACGACCAACACGTATTTCACCAGTTGTAGGTGTCACAGTAAAAAATGTACTATCAGTTAAGAAATGCATTTGAGAACGTAAATTAGGTGGCAAGCTAGTGATAACTGAACCAATACGTGTAAATGGTGCAATCTCTTCACGCATACGTAGACGTAATTCAATTTCCTCTGCTGCTAAACACTCCTTTGAGAAGAATAAAATCCAATGGATAGCCCATATAACAAGTGCCAACTGACAACATCCGTTATAGAAGCAATTCATTATTCGATATACAAGATTATTATTATTTGAAACTAATGGAGAATCCTTGGCGTGCATTGGAGAGAATAATGACTGTGACTGTAGCAATAATCCAAAGTTTCTTGTTCACAATTAACCATAATGAGTAATGAGAAAGATGTTATTATTGAATTCACGTTGTAGATTATGTTTTGAATTTAGCGAGAATTCATCTTCCTTTTCTAGTGATGAATAAACACGAATTCAAAATGTCCATAGTTTACATAATGTATCGATGACTGTGAATATTGTTCTGTAAATTGCAAACCATCAAATTTGACACGGAAACTCTGAATATTGAGAGATGAAGGCACACACTGTGTGTATGTATTTATGAATGTGTGTGCATATGCATACTAGTACACGCTGATGACTGTATGGACAGACTGTTTCAGAAGTTTCCTAGTGTGCGGTATTAGGACAGTGTTGAACCGTGCGGTTAGTCAACCAATTCAGACATCAACATCACTAGAATGTGTCTGTTTATATATGTGTATACATACAACCTAACTAAAGTTACTCATTCCACCATAGTACATTATGTGCATATACCATTCAATGCAAAATGCAGTACAACCCCTTGGAAATATGCACCAACAGATGAATGAAAGAAGAGAAACAGGTCACAGCAAGTTACACATCCTGAACTGAGGTGAATTGATGAAAATAATATTCTTCTGTGCCAATATTCATTTTACTAATAATGCTAGTGATTTCCTGCCAAGTATGAGATTTTTTTAGTTCAAAAATATACGTAAATAATGGGAACAGCTGGTACAGAGTGCATTCAAGTAATAATAATTGACGTCTGGGTGAGAAGGATAATTGTATGACCTTGAAAGTATTGTTACAAATGAACAGGTAAATCAGAAAGCGAAATCAAGTGTTGGGTAGAGAAAGCTATTCACTATGTGGATGAGATAGTTATACAAACATACAATTCTGGCCAATGACTGTAAACCATAAGGAACCCAGAAATGATTTTCTTACGGTTTACTACCCAAGATATTCTGTGCACAAATATGTTCGCCAAGTAAACTAAAATTTGAGTTCTTTAAAGCATATTGGAAAAATGTAGTATACCGCGTTGATTTATTGCAGCAGAGTTCATATAGTGACGAAAGCAACCAACAAATTATCTAACAGCTTTTTTTTAGTACAAACAGAAACATGGTTTTTCTGGGTGAAATAAATTGGTCTTACTGCATTTTTTTTCATCAGCTGCAAACAGCTTAAGATTTCAACGAATTTTCTTAGAGGACAAGTGAGGATTCCAAACTAACAATGACATTAAGATATTCAGTTGAACCGATAGGCCGAAAAAAAGCCAACAAATATCAGTCAGTATGAACGAAAATTTATTTATAACCTGACAAAAGTAAAATCATGAGTTGTCGGCAAGAAGTTTGACAAAAATATGTAAAAGAATGGAATTGAAGGACAGACAAGGAATTACGAAACACTTTTATTTCAGTATATACCTTATCTCAGTGTCGTTTGCCTACAGGCTGGATGGATACTGTAACCAGCCCAGATTTTAAGACCGTTAGTGGCCAGGTGGTGGCTATCTCCCTGTAAGTTTAATTAACTTAGTCATGAGGGTTTTTTAAAACATTCGCGATAAGTTACTGAAGTATGTCGAGTCAAATAATCTTTGGACATCACAGCAACAAGGTTTTTTACTAGACACTCCTCTTAAACAAACCTACTCATTGTGAGAGAGGAATGCGTTACAGCCGGTGATTGCAAGCTGTCAAACGACGCTGAGTTCTTAAACTTCAGTAGGTCATTCGATAAAGTTACCAATGAAAAATTGCTAGGAAAGCTCTGCCCCTTCGCGTTTGGTGCTACACTGCAAGTAAGGTTTAAGGACTTTCTATGCGACAAAAGGTAAAGGTTGAGGATTAGTGGGACACTGTCCAGGTGTAAACCTGTGATCAGCGGAGTTCCTCGAAGAATAATACTAGGTCCTCCACTCTTCTTGTTATATGTCAACGAATTACTGAAAATGCTCAGCTCTTCATTCTGATGTAGAAGTTTGGAGAGTCATATGTAGGGATGCTGACAAATATGAACTTCAACCGGATTTGGATGAACTGCTAGGTAGGTTCAAACTTTGGTGCCTGGAAATCAACTCTGGTAAGAGTGCAACAACGTATGTTGGTCATACCACTTGTTCCCATCACTTCATTGATGGTATACCACTACTCTCAGTCCTCGAACTGAAAGACTTAGGTGTCATCATAAAAAGTGATTTGAAAACTTTATTACACTGCTATGGAGCTGTAACAAATTGCTTCAGTTTATTCTAGTTCATCTGCACAACCTTCAAAAGCTCCCATCAGGATATATTCAGGATACTATATTCTACTTACGTTAAACCTCACTTGAAATACCGAATTAACGAGGTTAGTACATTCCAAAAAATGATGCTTATTCAGGTGGAATCAGACGGTAGGTACTAAGCTTGTGGCAAGTTTTTCGAATCTGCATTATGAAGAGCTATTAAACCGACTGAATTTATTCCTGCTTTCATACCTTAGGAAAACGGGTGATCTCATACTGGCATTCTGTATCTTTAATAATTACTGCGGTACTGTTATGTCCTATCTTCTCTCCCCTGCTAGGACTGATTATCCCCATGGCCATTGCAAGAAAATCCCAAATCCACGATAGAAACAACTTCGCATGAATCTGCATTTCTCCTATCATGTGGTCAAAGACTCAGCAAGTAGTATCAGCTCCTTCAATCAACGCATTTGAAGAGAAACTAGATCTTCACAGAGATATCTTCTGCAAGGATTAGCATATGACAACTGATCTACTATCCTTATTACTGAAAACGGAAATGATGAGCTAGAAAATACTGAAGTAATTGCTATTTTAAAAAGATAACACATCCAAAATAGTATTCAATTGTCTTATCCAAAGGAAATCAAATCATAATTGTCCTGTGTATGAAGATAAGATTGAGAATATTTATTGTAAGCGCTTCTGTTAGGAGAATTATTTTTAATGATATTTTATTTGTTACCAGTTTGGCTATCTAAGATAGACATAGTTTAGAGGAGGTAGGGAGGAAACAGAACTCTTAATTTGTCTATAGTTCAGTCAATTAACTTAAGTTTGCCTCACTCTTTTAGAAAGTTGACGCCAGTTGAGTCTTTCAGACTAATGATATTATCAAGATCAATATATTCTGATGCATAAAATCAGTTGCCATTACTAATTGAATGTGTCATTGACCAAAGGAAACAGAAGGTACATTTCTTCTAGTAGCATAACCAAAATATGCAGTTTTCAGACTTTTATAATCTCATCTTGATGATTTTGATTTCAAACTTATTTTACGATAGGTTAGAAATGATTTAATGTAATATGTTATAATTATGAGGTTCAGATAGTTAGTGTATGTCTGAATTTAAACCCTATTCTCCTCAGAATTCAGTGGAAATCTTTATGCTTCAAGGATTAAATATTCGTACATAGTATATTCTATGCCTCAGTGATTATTCTTACAGCAAAATGATGAAGAACAACTTGACATATCTTTTCTCACGGTCTTACGATTTTAAACAGATTTTGATAAGCTACAAATGGCTAAATAATATTTAACTTTGTTTAAATACCTTCTCTCCTGTTCATACTGACTTTACGAAATGTAAAGTACATCTAAGTTAACAAAACACATATTACATGTTTCGGGAACTAGACAGTTCAAATTTTGTTCCTGAAACATTAACTGTCGGGGGTCTGACTTTTCCCAACATCTGTTCGTTGGTAGACAACATTCTCAGTTGCAGAATAGTAATTATGTACATGGTTTCTTATCCACAGGAGAGAAACTTATATGAATCACATAACAGGAAATCTTTTGAAGAGTGTTGATTAGAAACCAGCCGGTAGTAGGAAGTCGAATTCTTAGAATAAGTCTTATTGGAAATGAAATTGAAGGAATGGAAAGACAAGTTTCCTAAAAAGACTGTTCCTCTTTATGAATTCTTTCAAATCAATATATAACAGTGACAAACTAATGACGGCTTTATAAGGAAAAACCTGAATAGTGGTACATTATTTCTAGCAGGTCAGATCAGAAAGACAACTGTTTTCTTCGCTTACAATTACTTTACATTGACGTTTTCTGTACGTACTCTTTCTAAAATGGTATTTCACAGCGCCATTCTGTTAGGTGACTAGGAGATGAATTTTTGATCAGTTCTCCGGTACCGTAACAACTCCTTATGTCCAGTCATATATCTCCACCATAGCCATCTCTTGTGATTGCCTGCTTAGTTAAATCAAAGGGTTCGTAAACAGCACGAGTTCATAATCAGTGCTCTGTGGGGTACTGGTGATTCATAATTTCATTTCTACTCTCTGTATGCACATGAAACTTGTATTATTCCTGATTTCCACTGCTGAAAATTACTCCACTATTATCACTATGATTAAAATTCTTGTTTCTTTTTTCACCATCATTTCACTTATCAAGTATACACTTAACTTTGGTACTTCATGTTTAGAAGTAATTTTCAACCTGTCAAATTCTATGCTTTTCTCATCACTTTGATCATCGTACAGATTAGTATGTAATTATTCTGGCCTATGAACTCATTTTTGTGACCATTCCTCTAGCTTAATGCTTAAATTTGTTTCCAGGGCTTCAGTAAATGATATCAATGAAAAGGTAAAGTTTTCTTCGTTAAATTGTCTTCTTCCCTTCTTACAATTCAATGACATTTAATAGTTGTTTAAATACAATGGACCAGAATCATATTGTGAAACTCCATGTACTTGCATACTGTTATAGTATAAATAATTGATGATATTGCTTCTCGCATAAAATTATGATTTAACTTCAAGCTTACAATAAAGTATGCTGCGTTTTCCTCTTGTTCAGTCAATTACATATACCCAGCCATTATTTCTGTTTTATGCATCATTTAGCACACCGTTTTGCTAAACAATTTTCAGTGACTCAA